CTGGCTGTGTGAGCAACTGTCTTAGCTTGAGGCCAAGGTGCCAGGCCCACACTGGGTCTGTGCCCAGGTGATTGTGATTCAGTCTTGTAAAATGCCCTTCTCAGACCAGCAAATACTAGAGTGTCTCAGAGAGGCTGTCTCCAACCAGTGGATTCCAACTAGTCTGTCCAGTGCCCCAGGACCTCAGGAAGTGAGCTTTGCGGAACTATGCCATAACACCTTTGGTTTGTACAACACAGGCGTTAGATTTCTGACCAAGGTGAGGGAGAGGATAATTTGGCTAATTGTCCACATCTGCTGATTTGTGCCACAGGGGGAAAAAAATATTACTTAAGTCTCTTGAAGACTTGGTTTCTCATGAGTTAAGTGGAAATAATGTCTACTGTGTAGCAGTTAAGATGAAATAAGAAGCACCCATGTAAAGCAGCTAAAGCAGAATAGTTGCTTATTATTCACGATATTAACCCAACGCTGACTACAGACTGCATCCTACATTGGGTAATTTGATTATTTTACATGTATGTGTGTGCGTTTTTGATAACTTCCATGTCACTCCTCTTAGATTGTCTATTTTTCTTTTTTGAGATAGGGTCTATCATTGTCCTGGAACCTGCTAAGTAGGCTGACGAAGAGTGTTGCCTGAGTTCTAATGAGTCTTAATAATAAAACACCAGAGCCAGACATTGGGGCAAATGCTGAAAGATCAGAGAGAGAAAGGAGCAAGCCACAGACAGCTCTTACCTTGCTAATTCCTCAGCTGAAAAAGGGGCTGAGCGCATGTCTCTTTCTGCCTTATAGTCCTCTCTCCACCCAGGGATATCACTTCCTGTCTGTCTGTACAGACCTCCAGACCTCTGTGGTTAAGTAGTGGCTAATTCCACCCTCTGATCTTCAGATAAGCTTTCTTTGTTAGAGCACAAATAAAATATCAACACAGGGAAGTCCCATGAATCCGCTGCCTCTGCCTCCTCAGCACTGGTCTTATCAGTGCACGCCACTACACTGGATTTAAAAAAGCAAAACAAAACATGGATTCTGGGTATTGAACTCGCATCTTTGTACGTACACGACACTTTATTGACTTACACATCTCCCAAGTCCGTGAAGCAATTATATTCTGTCCTTAGACTCAGTTTCCTTCTGCTGAGGTCTGGATCTGACCAGGATTACAAAGGCAAGTTCATTTGGTAACCGTTAATCAGTTCCAAAGGAAAGCATTTCTAGAGTGACAACTCACTAATTTATGTTGAGCCCTTCCTACAGATTGGTGAAGCAAGGGTAATTCAATCCACTTTTTATATTTAGAAGCAAGTTTGAAGACATAGAGTGTACACATCAGAGACAGGAGCTCACGCATGGGCCTGGTGGCATAGGCCCGTGTTCCCAGTTCCTAGGAGGCTGGGCCAAGATGATAGTAGATTCAAGGCCTACGCAGGCAACAAAAGTTAGTGCAAAACCAGCCTGGACAATTTAATTAGGTCTTGTCTCAAGATACAAAGGGAAAGGAGGGCTGGGTTTAACTCAGTGATAAAAACATTTGCCTACCATGTATGAGGTCCCAAGTTCATCCCCTGATACTCAGAGGTGCTGGGGCTTGGGGTGGGGAGAAAGAAAAAGAAAGATAAAAGAAAAAACAAGTTCTTTGCCTGTGCAAGACCTCATGGAACACTTCTGGCCACTGAGTGAGGGAGGATAAAAAGGAGGACTTCCTGTCCTGCTCCCTGGGGAGGGTGGGGCTAGAGTGAGGAAAAACCTTCACTGTGAGACAGTTTCTCTTTTTTAAAATTATTCTTTATTTTATTTTATTTTATTTTATTTTATTTTATGTGTATGGGTATGTGCGTGAATGTGTGTCTGTATACCACACATATACTTCATGCTTGCAGAGGCCAGAAGAGAGAGTCAGAGCCCCTGAAACTGTTACAGGGGGGTTGTGAGCCCCCTTGTAGGTGCTAGGACTCAAATTTGGATCCTCTGGTAGAGGAATCAATGAAATGCTCTTAACTGCTAAGCCATCTCTCTAACACTCCCCCATTAAATTTAGATTTCTATTTTCCATTTCTATTTCCATTTTCCATTGAGGACAAAATTACCTAATTAGTAAGAATCCAGACATGTCTTTGATTTCAAGTCTAGAGGATTTTCCACTCAGAACTCTCTAGTTGTTCAAAATGTTAAAATTACGTGTGTGTGTGTGTGTGTGTGTGTGTGTGTGTGTGTGTGCCTGTGCATATGTATGCAGTGCCCACAGAGGCCAGAAGAGGGCAGTGAATCTCCCAGGACTGGAGTTACAGGGGATTGTGAACTCCAGACCTGGGAACTGGGAACTGAACTCTGGCCCTCTGCCAGAGCAGTAAGCTCTCTTAAACACCGAGTCATCTTTCCAGTTCCTTCTTTTTGTCTGTCTGTCAGTCCATCTATCCATCTAGCATCTATCTATTTATTATCTATCTGTCTGTCTATCTGCCTATCATCTATGAACATCCCCCATAGAGTCAAAATTGGGCTGTCCATATATGAATGGGTGTGGGGACAACCACTGGAGCGCAGTCAACTTACTAGCGGCCACACCCCCAAAGTAAGCGGACCCCATTCTCTAGCAGCTATCAATAGTGCTTCAGCTAGAGTGGGGGCTCACGAGGGTCTCCCCACTCGACCTTGGGATGTTGACTGGTGAGATCTTGGACAGTCAGCCACTGTGAGTTCAGTTGTACAGCCATCCTATCATGTCCAGGAGAAACTGCTTCACCTTCGTCCTCTGACTCTTAGAATCTCCACCCATCTTCAGAGACGCTCCCTGAGCCTTGTGGGAAGGACGGGTGATACAGATGTTTAAGTACTCCACAGATACTTATTTCTTGCAATGAGTCCACTTGTGAGTTCCTGTGTTAACTGTAATCCAGCTCACAAAGAAGCGTCTGAGGGCTCTCCTTGGGTTTTGAACCTGCCAGCCTCCAAACCGGAACTGTGCAACCAGTTCTCTTGTGTTCCCAGCTTGCCTGCTCATCCTGAAGGCTACCAGCCTTCCTAGAAGTCTTGAAAGGTATCTGTCATGCATAGATTACTACATATATAACGTTGCAGGTGTGTGTGAGAGCTTCCTTATGCAAATATTTATGTACACATCTTCATAGCCACCCACCTGTCCGCCTTTGGTTCTGTTTTCTGAAGAATTCTGCCACATCCCGGGGAACTGTGCAGTCATCGAGGACCCAGGGGCAGAGCACTGGTACTGGCTTAGCTTTATTAGATGGCTAGAGTTTGGGTACTGGGACAGTTGGGAGGGACAGAGTACAGGCTTCCTTCCCTGTCCTTTCGGGTTTTGATTCTCTTGTCCTGGGAGCTTGTTGGGCTGATCAGCCTCCTCTTTCAGGAAGGCTGTGTTTTAATTCAGGGCAGCCTGACCCAACAATCCTCCTTGGGTCAGGCTGGCCTCTGGACACACGCTTGCTTTTTCCTCTCCAAGCTGCTTCGTAGGCTACCGGCCAATTCTTGGCCACCCTAAGGGGGATGAAACCTGAGGCGGCAGACCTGTCTATGTTCCTGGAGCTGTCCTCTGCACACGTGTGTATACACACACACACACACACACACACACACACACACACACACACACACCACAAACCGGTCCACTACCTAAGGAAAGTTTTGAAAACCAAGGGGGCAGGGCATGTAATATCCTCATAGGCTGGGAGGAGTCTGGGGACAAGTGTCCCTGGACAGAGGGTTGAAAATCAATTTCAAACTCCTTTCACTCTTCGCCCAACCTGCCCAAACCCTCTCCACTGAGGGAAAGAACACGAGACTCAGAGGTAGCAAATGAACCGCCCTTGTTCCTGTGTCTCCTTGGAGTACGTTGGTTTGCTCATCTGTAGTATGGGAGTGCTCCCAGGGCCACCAGAATCAGGACCTGTGCTCCAGCCACCCCAACAGCTGGGTTCCACCCTCCATCCTTAATAAATCAATTAAAAAAGCCAAGTGAATGGAGTGTGAGTGAAAGTTCCCAGGAGAAACCAAGCCTTTTATTGAACCTCCTGCAAAGCCGATGAACAGATTGACACTTCAGGGGTGTGGAAAGCCGTAGTGTTGCAGGCCCATAGCCTCATTACAATTTGTCTTTAGCACCCCCTTTTTAAAACTGATTTTTATTGAGCTCTACATTTTTCTCTGCTCCCCTCCCTGCTTCTCCCCTCCTCCCTTCCACCCTCCTTCAAGGTCTCCATGCTCCCAATTTACTCAGGATAGATCTAATCTATATGGGAAGTAGAAAAAGACAAGATCTCCTGAGTAAATTGGGAGCACGGAGACCTTGCTTACTCCTGGTCTGGCCTCACATGCTTGTGATTATCAAGGGAAAACTTTTTTTTCTTTTAACATTTATTTATTGCGGTGTTTCAGATGTAATGTACCCCATAAGTCTCGAGTATTTGATCCCCAGTTGGTGGTTGTTTGGGAAGGATTAGGAGGTGTGGCTTTACTAGAAGAAGCAATTTGAAGTTTTTCAGAAGACTCTTTTGAGTTAACTCTCCATCTCCTGTTTGAGGATTCAGATGTGAGCTCTCGGCTGCTGCTCTGGCCACCGACTGCAATGCTTTAACTCTGCCACCAAACCGTCATCTTCTGGAACTGTAAACCCAGCTACACGCATCTGTTATAAGTTGCTTTGGTCATGGTGTTTTATTATAGCCATAGAAAAGTAACTAATATATTTACTGGGTTATGTGTGTGTGTGTGTGTGTGTGTGTGTGCGGGTGTGTATACGTTTGTGTGGGTGTGTGTGGGTGTACAGTCCATGGTGCTCACATGTAGGTCAAAGGATAATTTACATGGGTGGTTCTCTCTGCCTGCCTTCTAGGTTCCAGAGATCACATTCAGGTCATGACTTTATAGACTACTGGTTTCTGTAGTCAAAGTCTAAGAGTATCTTCAAATAAGTCTAAGGCTTTTGGCAGACATGTCCTAGCTTTGCTGGAATGCCCTACCTGATATGTCCACTAACGTGTTTGGAAATGTCTTGATTTGTGATTTTCTAGGTTCTCTGTGATACAGCTTCATGAAACTGCTGTCATGTTGGAATATGAAATTTGGGATAACCCGAACCTGTGCTTTCAAGCCACAGTCACTCATGTTTGGCTCTGGAATAAATTCTTGTCCCCTTTGAGGTAAGAACTGTGGTTTTGCAGAAAAAGATTTCTATAATGTGGCTATTTTGGGAAGGTGGAGAAAGACATACAGTGATATCCGTGTTAGTCTTTGGGGTCCCAGCATGGGGTTTAGGTTTAAGTAGAGGGCCAGCAGTTTGCATGGCTAAGCAATCTCAGCTAAGGTGTGGTCCTGATGGGCACTGACCCATCATTGTCTCTGCTCCAGTCTCTCCTACAAGATAGTTTGGCAAGTTGTAAATCTCTTTCTGGGGACCAAGTCTCCCTCTGACTGGTGCCAGAGTTCAGCATATTCCTTCTCCTGATGTGAGACTCCTGGGGTGAGAGTCCAGTTCCCTGAAGTGCTTTGAAGAGTCTGCTAGCCAAAGGGAGGGGCACAACTGCCTGCTGAGAATATACTCATTCCTGCCAGACAGGCTGGCAACAGGGGCAATCATCAGACATGCAGTACAGGTTGACATGATGTCAGTGGATGGACTTGATTATGCTAAACAGGCATTGCTCCTAAACAATTCATTGCTGTAGCTCTGGTTTTTCATTTTACTTAGTCAAATTTCACTTTATTCTTTTATTGGTATATGTGGTCTATGTATATATGTGTATGCAAGTTCATATATATGTGGGTAGACATTTATGTGCAGGTACATGTGAAAGCCTGACGTCAGTCTTTTTCAACACTCTTCATCCTATGTTTTGAGGCAAGGCCTCCCATTAAAACTGAAAGCCGCCAAGTAGGCCAGTCTAGCTAGCCAGTTTGTGCCTGGGATTTCCTGTCTCTGCCTTCATAGTGATGGTATTACTAGGCTATATCTGCCTAGCCTTTATGTAGGTGCCGAGGATTCAAATTCACCTCCTCATATGCACACGGCAAGCATTTTACCCAGCTCCTCTGTCCAGTTCTGTTTTTTTTTTAATATGCATCATTCTAAGGAAGACTGAACGTACTTTTTAATCATTATGTTAAAAGGTAGATTCTGCTTTGCTAGGACTGGACAGGCTTGGCTTCTGCACTTCCATACTAATAGGTAATATCCACAGTTCTAGTGCAGAGACTGAACTACGACTTTCACAGGAAAGGAGGAGGAATCTTGTAATGGGTTGAGAAGAAACAGCCCCGGAAGTAGAACAGAAATATGGATTTATTAAAACAGCTCACAGTCAGGGATGGCCTTTTTGCCACAAAGCATAATTTTCATCTTGGGGAAACGGGGGGGGGGGAGAGACAGAGATTCAGAGACTCTAGAAGTCCCGGACTGGTCACTTCCTGGACTTCTCTGTGGAGCAGCTGCCATTGGTCTTGTTAAGAGAGTCGGTACTCCCCGTTCTGGAGCCCACGTTGTTGAGGATTCTGTCAATTTCTCCTGGGATGCTTTGCTTCTCCTCATTCTCAGTCTCACGGTGATAGAAGTAGTTGAAATTGGAGACAATGACAGGTACAGGGAGGGCAATGGTGAGGACGCCGGCAATGGCACACAGAGTACCCACAATCTTCCCTCCTGGGGTGATTGGGCACATGTCACCATAACCTACGGTTGTCATGGTGACCACAGCCCACCAGAAGCCATCAGGAATGCTAGAGAAATGGGATTCCGGTTCATCAACTTCAGCAAAGTAGATGGCACTGGAGAAGAGGATGACCCCTATGAAGAGGAAGAAGATGAGCAGCCCCAGCTCTCGCATGGATGCCTTCAGCGTCTGCCCCAGGATCTGCAGCCCCTTAGAGTGGCGGGAGAGCTTGAAGATGCGGAAGACCCTTACCAGGCGGATGATCCTCAGGATGGCCAGGGACATGCTCTGTTGGGTACTCGGCTCTGTCTCCTGGACCAGCTCCGTGATGAGGGTTGCAAAGTAGGGGATGATGGAAATGATGTCGATGATGTTCATGATATTCTTGAAGAAGTCTGTCTTGCTGGGGCAGACCACAAACCGGAGCACCAGCTCAAAGGTGAACCACACGATGCAGGTGGACTCGATCATGAAGAAGGGGTCAGTGAACATGGTCTGGGAGAGGCCCGTTTTGTTTGTGTTGATGCCGGGGTCTCTGACTACCTTCAGCTCCCTGTCCTCGCGGAATTCTGGGAGCGTTTCCAGGCAGAAGATGGTGATGGAGATGACTACGACCAAAACGGAGACCACAGCCACGCCACGCGCGGCGCTAGAGCTCTCAGGGTACTCGAAGAGAAGCCAGAACTGCCGGTGGAAATCATTGGTCGGTAGCAGCGTTTCAGGGTCCTTGATGAAGCCTTCATCCTCCCGGAACTGGTCCATGGCCTCGCTACCCAGTTCATAAAAGGAGATCTCATCGGCGAAAACATCGATAGGCACATTGGCTGGCCGCCGTATTTTCCCACCAGACTGGTAATAGTATAAGATTCCATCAAAACTAGGTCGGTTTCGATCAAAGAAGTATTCGTTTCTCATGGAGTCAAAAAATTGCATCCTTTTCTCCCGGTCTCCCAGGAGTGTCTCTGGGAATTGACCGAGAGTTCTGAGCTGAGTCTCAAACCTCAGCCCAGCAATATTAATGATCACCCTTTGGTTTCCTTCATTCAAGACCACGGGCTCAGGCCCTGGGGGATCCACGAACTCTCCTGGGACCTTGGAGAAGGCCGTTTCAAGGTTGGTGCCGTCACTGATGAGGACTCTCCAGCTGGGAAAGGGACTGCTACTGGGTCGGCCTTTGGGGTCAAAGTCTGTGGCGTAGCCTGGCTCTTCATGGACGTCATCTGCGTTATCGAAATTGACCAGAGCCACCTCCATTTCTTTCCAGCCACACACATCCATTCTAGGGAGTCAGAAAAGCAGCATGGAGGCCCCCAGTCTTTGCTGCCTGCTGGAAGCTGTGGGGAAGGAGAGGTTTATTATACGGGAGTCGGAGAAGGATACAGCTGGTTCTTGACTACCGAGGCAAGATACGCCAGTGCATTAAACAATGATTTAGCCTTGGCTTGAGGAGGAACGTTGTGGGCTTTCAGCAACGTTCACTCCTTCATATCACTTTTGTGTGTACAAACTACTAACAAAAAATTATGAAGAGCAACGTGTCTCCAGAACAGGAGGGTCCTCGAACATGGTAGCATAAAGGAGGTTACCATAAAGAGAAGGCTACCCATTCTTGATAACAAAAAGTGTAATTTTGTATTCATGTGAAGTCCATCATTCTAGCCAGCACTTACCCACACCCATTGCCATTCTTAACTCTTCTCTTATGCATCCAACAGTCAGTCTCTATAAATCCCTTTTGTTTACAACTTCTCAACACAGCCAAAGCTCTACTCTTTTCTATCAACTCCATCACTGCCTCTTGGACCAAGTGGTGAGGTCCGGGATTCCGTTAGGAAGAATTAGAGGATGGAGGCAGGGTGGCCAATCCACTGTGTCCTTGAGCCCCTTGGCTCGAAGGAGGGCTTTGGGGGTATAGTTAATGTGATGATACGTGACATGCTTGGCAGCAGGATGGTTATATTTCTATCGCTGTGTTTGCCGACTTTTCCACATTGCAGGAAATTTAGAAGTCACTAGCCAGTGGAAGTCTTTTTGGCTCTAGTCTGAGGTGAATAATTTTTAATGGAAAGCAAATAAATAATTCTCTCTCCCTCCTCCCTTTCTTTCTCCCTTCCTCACGCCCTGTGTGTAGGGGCATTTGGGGTAGGGTTAGGACAAACACACACAGGCTTGGATAAGCATGAACATAGATGGACGTTCTCTCTTTAGGTTCCTTCCAGCTTGGGTTTCTATCAAAGGGCACTGTAGCCAGTCAGGCTAGACTGAGTGTTGAGGGAGAGGCAAGTGACCCAGCCTGAGGTGGCATCTGTTGTGACCATGGCCTTGGAATAGTTACATTACAGGGGACAGGGAGGCCCTGCTGTGTACAGTGTTGTAGTTTCTTCAAAGTGATTTTACATTCCCTTGTTCTACTGGATGGCAACAGTTAGAAGGTTAGAAGACAGCTCTGTTGTCTCCCTGGGGCAAGTGACTTCCTATAGCCCTGTAGCTAGTGATGCCGAGTCCTGTGAGCTCTGTGGTCTCTTGGCCCAGAGTTATCTCCACTACCCCACAGGGGGCTGGAGTGTGGGGAGCTAGGCTTATGGGATTCCGGGATATTAGTGCCCTTTGGTGCCCTCCCCCTTTGCAGTCTGTGTCCGTGAATGTCCAGGATGCAGAGTACATGTGTGGCCTTTGCTGGCTTGCTCATGTCAACGAACCACCACTTGTATATAGACTGCAGAAGTTATAACCATGAAGGCACCCTGCGTGAAGCTCAGTGAGGGGCAGGGTAGCTGGAAGACAGGATAGAACTGGGTGTAAGACTTCTGAGAACAGAGTCAATTGGTAGGCTCCTCAAACCCTGGACCTATACGTGTGACTCTAATGTGTTAGCTGTGTGGGTAAAAGGGACTTGGCTTGGAGCTTTGTTCCACTACTTAGGGGATATATATATATTATATATATATATATATAATATATATATATCATATATATATTAAGCTACTGACTTTTAGGACTTTAGTTTTCTGATCTATGAAATGGGTAAGAAGAGCAATAATCCCAACTCATATGTGCACAGCAAGCTCTCTTACTGAGCCATCTCCCCTTTCCCTCAGCATAGTCTTTGAGATTGGTTTTGGTTCTTTCTCTGGATTCACAGCCTGAGGGGATCATTCTGTGGGTGGGGA